GGCCTCGGCCAATTTACAACGACTTCAACCTTGCTAGAATCAACTGAAATACCTTCTTCATTAATCACATGTCCCAAAAATGAAATGCTGGAAAGCAAAAACTCACACTTGCTAAGCTTGGCATACAACTTCCTGTCCCTCAAAATCTGTAAGGCAAGTCTCAGATGCTTCCCATGGTCAACTTCACTCTTGGAATAGATCAATATATCGTCGATGAAGACAACCACAAATTCGTCTAAGTAAGGTTTAAAGACTCTGTGCATCAAGTCCATGAATGCTGCAAGAGCATTAGTCACTCCAAAAGGCATTACCAAAAATTAGTAATGGCCATATCTTGTCCGAAAAGCAGTCTTCTCAACATCCTCAGATTTAACCTTCAGCTGATGGTAGCCCGACCTGAGATCGATCTTAGAAAAGACTCGTGCCCCTTGTAGTTGATCAAGCAAATCATCGATCCTCGGCAATGGGTACTTATTCTTAATGGTCACTTTGTTCAGTTCTCGGTAATCGATACAAAGACGAAGTGTACCATCCTTTTTCTTCACAAATAGAACTGGTGCTCCCCAAGGTGAAGTACTTGGCCTAATAAAGCCCTTATCTAACAACTCTTGTAATTGCAGCTTCAACTCCTTAAGCTCGGCTGGGGCCATTCTATAGGGTGTTTTGGAGATAGGTTGGGTTCCTGACATGACGTCAACAGTAAACTCTATTTCTCTGTCGACTAAACAGCCATGCAAGTCACTTGGAAAGACGTCGAGGAATTCCTTAACAACTGGGATGTCGGCCAATTCAACGTTTCCACTCAGATTGCTTAATATACTACACAAATAACCTTGAGACCCTTGAGACCCTTTTTGAATCAACTTATAGGCCCTTTTTGAGTCCCTTGAGACCCTTTTTGAATCAACTTATAGGCCTTCATGGATGAGATCAAGTAAGGTGGGGATACCACTTCTTTACCCTAAAATGTAACCTCGGCTTTGTTTGGGGTCTCAATATGACACTTTTGGAAGCACAGTTAATGGATGCATTATTTTCTACTAACCAATCCATTCCCAATATGACATCAAAGTGAGTTATGTCCAACGGCATCAAATCAACTAATAATTCAACATTCTCGATCATAACAACACATGCTCTATAAATGGATGCAACAGTCATAGTTCTTCTAGACAGAGTAGACACAGATAACATATAATCAAGGGGTTCTAATTCCTTATTCAACTTCTCGGCAAACTTAGTAGATACAAATGAATGAGTAGAACCCGAATCAATCAATATATATACATCTTGAGAGCAAATGGGAAGTATACCTGACACCACTGTCTCAGCACCCTGAGTGTCTTCTGGCACTAATGCAAAAACTCTGTCCTGTCTCATCTGTCCTTTCCCAACGTTGCCTTTCCACGTCGAACCCGAGGTGTTCCCATTCTTCTTACCATCGTCAGCCTTTGCCTTCGGACAGTCTTTCACACGATGACCCGTCTCGCCACATTCAAAGCAAGCTCTTGACGCCCAACGACAGACCCCGAAATGTGGCTTCCCGCAACTCGCACACGTCGGCTTAGCATCACCTTCCTGATTTGAGTTGCTGGAACTGCCCGTGTTCGTCTTCCTCTTGGCATTAAACGGTACTCGGCGATTCTCATAGTTCTGTCTCTTCCTCTGGCTCTCTGCTGAACTCTGGTATCGGTTCAAGTTAGCTTCTGCTAGAATGGCCTTGTCTAGCACTCCGGCGTAAGTCGGCATGTTGAGCATGTTAACTCGATCCTGTATCGGTCCACGCAGTCCGCTTTCAAACTTTCTCGCTTTCCTATATTCGTCATCGACCATATGCGGCGCATATCTCGCCAACTCGGTAAAGGCACGGTTGTACTCTGCCACTATCTTGTTGCCTTGTGTCAGAGTCTGAAACTCTGTGGTCTTACGATCCTGGACACTAAGGGAAAAATGCTTATTGTAGAACAATTCCAAAAATCTAGCCCAAGTCAAATCCGGATTACCTTCTCGGACCATCATCCACCATCTTCGTGCGTCGTCATCTAACGTGAATGCTGCCAATGAGACCTTCTGAGCATCGGTACTGGGAAAAATCTCAAACAACTTCTCCATTTCCAAGACCCATGCTTCGGCTTTTATCGACTCTATACCCCTTTGGAATCTAGGCGGGTTCATCTTCTTGAACTCTTTGATTAAGGTTATCGTACCATTCCCATATAAAGCTTGTTGTTGAGGCACTTACGACACTGGAGAAGGTGGAGGTGGAGCTTCATGTCGGTCGTTTGTTTGCTCGGCCTGAGGAGAGGTGGTGCTGGTGTCTTGCGGCCTAGGTTGTCTCAACTCACGGACCAAACCTTCAACCAATCTTTCTAATCTATCCAATCTATCCTCGGAATGATCTTGGCGAACTGGAGGTCTACCCCTTCTCATGATGCTAGGAGTATGCAAAATATGACTTCAAAACAAAATGAGCAAATAAACATGTATGCAAGTAACAAATAGTTATGCCGAGATGATGCACACCTTGTCAAATAGCAAGCAATATAATGCAACCCTAACATCATTCTAAGGGACATCCTATGCTCTTTAGGACTCAAAGTGTGTGAATAAACATACTATAAGGAACTCGGGCTTTGATACCATTCTGTCACGACCCCACTCCGCCCCTAGTAGAATGGTGTCGTGATGGCCAGTAATCCGAGATTACCAAAGGCCAACTTACAAGGGTTCACACACAATCAGAGTATACATATGGGGCTTACAAGTGCGGAAGCAGTATATTTAAATCTACTTAGTCCATAAGAGTTGTGCATAGATCAAATGAAATGGCATACATCTTAATATAGCTTACAACTTGGATACAATAAAATAAAGTACAAAATACATCTTGATCAAAAGGCTTCTCAAGCCGACATATACAAAAGAAATAACTACAAGCCAAGAAGCATAATCTTCAAGATGCTACAAAACATGAATCCAAAAACATCTTGCAAACAATCATCTAGGCGTCACCGCCTTCATGCTCGTCACCTACATATATATATAGAGAGGGTGAGCTTGGATACTCAGTGAATGATACCAGTAATAAAGGTTTTGCATGAATGATATTCAAGATCTCTTTTCTAAACAATACATAGTATAACTTATATAAAATCAAGGAATGAACCAAGTCCATCTATCAAGTCTTTCAAATCTTCAAAGGATGCTTACTAGCATCAATATAGTACAAGGGATGACATTCTGGACAAACAAACCCACACGGAAAACCGTCAGTGGCAAAACAAAGGTGCAGTTGCATTATAGTCCCCTGGCACTAAGGACTTTCAAAACAAGGGCACAGTTGCATTATAGTCCCCTGGCACTAAGGACTTTTCCAGAATGTCATCAAAACGATTATAATACAAGATACAAAACTAGGGACTATCATTCATGCTTTATCGAATACTTTTCCAAAACAAAGCAAAGCAAAGCTTTCATCAAAACATTATAACATAGCTTTATTAAAAATACCACTCACATAGTTCTTCTGGTATAGGAATTACAAGCAAGGATCAAAGGCCTACAAGTACATAATAAATCCCATTGAATGCGTTTCAATAAGACAAGGTGAGATGCTCAAAGATGGATATGAAATGCATTCTTAAAACCAGTTTTACATGACAGGGAAGGATCTTGGCATTTCTTTCAAAATCATGTCAAAACAAAGCAAAACATGCTGGGAGTTACAACACTGCATTTTCACCTCGGGAAAACATGACGGGTACTAACCAGGTCTAGGCCAAGGTCCCACACCTCTTGGCCGAGGTGTGTTCTCGACGACCACATTCAAGGAAATGAAGTCTGGGAAAATCTGGGCTTCCCTCTTGAAGAACATGAAGAGCATGAATGCTAAATCCATAACTTTTATTCCAAAATATGAGATTTCAAGAGATGAGTTCGAAAACATGGACCTGAGTACCCATACTTGAAGATCTCATGAAAACAAACACAAAAACATTGATCTTGATACAAACTTTCGGATCAAAACATGGTTTTTCTTCAAGAACACATGAACATCACTTTCTCTTTCTAAAACAAACTTTAAATCAATGCATGGCTCATGAATCATGCTGGATCATGCAATGCAATTGGATCAACATAAAGAATAACAAGAGTAAATCAAGATTCTAACCTGAAAACACGGATTAAACGGCTCAAACTCTAAAGATCAACTTGGGATCTAGCTCTTTCACTTCAACTTCCTCTCCTCTTCCTAGAGCTTCTCTCTCTACCATGCAAGAGATATGACACAAAATGATATTTTTCTAACTCTACCAGCTGACTTAACCCTCTGCTGGGACACGTGGCAACGGCTGATTGGATCCCCTCAAAAAGGTGATAGATTGATAAGACAAGAGCATGACAAGGTGTAAGCAACAAGTAAGGTGACATGGGCACTTCGGCGGGTAATGATCTCGGCTAGGACAAAGCTTCGGCAAGTAAGGTCTCAATGATCTCGGCTAGGAAGGACAACACTTGGCCTAGCTGTGCCACACCTTGCCCTAGATGTGCCACATCTTGGTCTAGGTCGTACCAGTCCAGGGACAAGATCACTTTGGCATAACATCTCAGCCTAGATAATACACATCTCGGCCTTGGTGATGAACACCTCGGCCTAGATAATAACACCTCGGCCAACATGTCAGGGTAAGGGTGGAGGTTAACCAAAGTGGTTCCAAGATGGTCCTAGGTGTAAGAAGTTCAAAGGTGTAACCTAGGCTTAAGATAACCTCGGCTAAACTCACACTAAGCAAGGAACAAAACATGCAAGCAACACTTAAACGAAACTAATCAAAATCTGCAAAGATGCAAGCTTAATCAATACAAGGATCATGCAAAAATGTACGTAAGCAAGACTAGGATAAAGTGAGGGTTGCTACACCATACTTGCCTTGAGGACCACAGATTTTCACTTCTCCAATTTAAAACAACATTTACCATAACTGCTAATACCTCTTTAGGTTGTGAATCTGATTCTCATCCTAAAACAGTGTTCTGGAATGAGAGTAGTGATTGCTGCTCGTGGAAGGGGGTCACCTATGACTGGTCGAATGGGCATGTGATTGGACTTTACCTCAGTTGCAGCCACCTTCAGGGCACCATCCAACCCAACAACACCCTCTTCCACCTTCGTCACCTCCAAACACTCAATCTTGCCTTCAATGACTTTAATTTCTCTAGAATTTCACCTAATTTTGGCTCCTTTGCAAGTTTGACCCATCTCAACCTCTCTTACTCTAGTTTTACAGGTCAAATTCCTTCAAAAATCTCACATCTGTCCAAATTGATTTCCCTTGATCTCTCTTATTTAAATGATTATTACTACTATGAGGGGAGACTTGAACAACACACTTTCAATATGCTCTTTTGAAACCTAACCCAATTCAGAGAACTACACCTTGATTGGTTGAATATCTCTTCACCTTTACCTCATGCTTTGCTAAATCTATCTTCTTTGACATCTCTCAGTCTTTGCTACTGTCAACTACATGGGAAATTCTCAAAAAACATTTTTCACCTTCCAAACCTACGAGAGCTCAACAAAGGGGGAAATAAGGACCTCACAGGTAAACTTCCATACTTCAATGTGACTAGTTCCTTTCAGTTTCTTGATCTCTCCGGGACAAGTTTTCTTGGCCAATTGCTTGATTTAATCAACAATCTTAAAGCCTTGAATAGTTTGTACCTCTATCATTGTAACTTTTCGGGGTCCATACCTGCTTCTCTTGGGAACCTTACACAAATCACCAATCTAGACTTCGAGTATAACAGTTTCGGCAGTCAAATCCCCTCATCAATTTCAAACCTTGCAAAGCTTAATCCCTTGTATCTTGACAGAAACAAATTGAACGGAAAAATACCGAATTCCCTTGGCAACATGAGCCAACTTACTCACTTGTACCTTTCTTCTAATCATCTAACTGGTACAATACCATCTTTGTTGTTTGCTCTACCTTCACTGGTTTATATAGATTTGAGTAACAATAAGCTGCAGGGACCAATTCCAGGATTAGTTTATGAACTCCATAACCTAACAGGATTAGGGCTTTCATCAAATAACTTTAGTGGTGTAGTGGAGCTAGATAAGCTGCTTAATCTAAAACATTTGTCCAATCTTGATCTCGCATATAATGGTCTCTCATTGAACGTTAACAATAGTGTCAACTCTACCTTGACCAACTTTGACACTAGAGGATTAGCTTCTTGCAACTTGAGCGAATTTCCAAACTTCTTGAGAGAACAAGTTAGATTGCGTTCACTAGACCTTTCAAACAACAAAATTCCCAGTGAAGTTCCAAAATGGTTATTCAATGTGAGGAAAGATTCATTGTATAATTTAAATCTTTCTCATAATTTCCTTACAAGTTTAGAGCGTCTTTCATGGAAGAATCTACGGTATATTGACCTACACTCCAACTTACTTCGAGGACCACTCCCTATTCCACCTAACACCACATATGTTTTCTGTATCTCAAACAATAAATTGACAGGAGAAATCCCTACATTGATTTGCAATCTGAGTTCACTTGGAGTTCTTGATCTGTCTAATAACAGTTTGAGTGGGTTGATTCCACAATGTTTGGGCAATTTTCTCTCCGTGCTGAATTTAGGAAACAATAGATTTCATGGTGCCTTTACTACGACATTTACAAAAGGCAACGTGCTAAGGAATCTTAACTTGAATGGAAACCAAATTGAAGGACAAGTTCCGCGATCTTTGCTCAATTGTGAATACTTGGAAGTTCTAGATCTTGGAAAAAACAAGATAAATGATACATTCCCCCACTGGTTGGAAACTCTTACAGAATTGTAGGTTCTTGTCCTGAGGTTTAATAGGTTTCATGGTCACATAGGCACCTTCAAGATCAAGAGCAAACATCCTTTCCCTAAGTTGAGAATTATCGACATATCTTCCAATGAGTTCACTGGCCTTTTGCCAACAAATTTTATCAAACAATTTGGAGCTATGATGAATGTCGATGAACATGTGAAATTGAAATACATGGGCCAAACATATTATCAAGATTCTGTGGTGGTGATATCTTAACAGTCTTCTCAATCATTGATTTTTCAAGAAATAAATTCCAAAGAGAGATTTCGAAATCTATTGGAAGGATTAATTCACTTCGGGGTCTTAACTTATCCCATAATAACCTTGAAGGTCACATTCCAACTTCACTTGGAAATTTAACAAACCTTGAATCATTGGATCTTTCCTCAAACAAGTTTGTTGGGGAGATTCCTCAGCAATTGAAAAGTTTGATGTTTCTTGAGGTACTAAATCTTTTGAACAGCCAACTAGCAAGACCAATTCCTCAAGGGAGCCAGTTTAATACATTTGAAAATGATTCATACAGTGGGAACTTGGCCTTATGTGGACTCCCTTTATCAAAGAAATGTAAGGAACTACAGCCACTACCACCTCTGCCAACACTCTAACAAGATGAGAATTCAGACAAGTCAAGCGGATTTAACTGGCAAGTTGAAGTGTTAGGGTATGGATGCGGATTTTTATATGGAATGGTTATGGGATATCTTATGTTTGTAACTCGAAGACCAGAATGGCTTATGAAAATTGTTGAAGGAAAACATCATAAGAAGGTGAAAAGGTCTAAGAAGAGTGGCCACTGATGCAATGAATGAAGAAATCAACAAAGACAAATGGTGTTATCCGGTAATTGGAATTTATCTTTGTAGCATTACTTTGTTGAATTATCTTTTATGGTTTCTACTCATATGCTATATTTGAGTTATTGATGTTCTTTTTTCAAAACTAGGTCTGTTCCATTAAGTAGCACAATAAAGCAATGGTATCCACTTGAAGGGGTGTTTCACCTAGCTACTGCATTTGAGTGGGTGAGCATCTGGATAACAGCCATACAGGACCACTTCAAAAGCTTTACCCTTTCTGCTGTATTGAATTCTAAAGCTTTGTTAAGTTGTTTAGTTTTTTTAAAGCACTGAGTTAAATAAGAGTTTCATGTCATGACTCTTTCTTTTCTTTTTTTTCTTTTCTTTTCTTTTCGCATCGTTTAGCAACCTCTTGGAGATTTTCACTTTTGTATGTAAGTTGCTTTTAAATTGGATTTCAGCCACAAAAGAGTGGGCCTTGCCAAGTTTTTAACTTTGAAATGCAATCTTACAAGTTATAACTCAAACCATTTCCCTTGTTACATTTTTAATCATTTTGAGTAATATAAATGTTGGTTGCTAGATAGAGAATTCACATTGAAAATAATGTTGCATGTTAATCTTTGAGCAGTGCTTTTACTCGTTGCTATTGTAGTCTATTCTATTTTTTATATTTTTTTTCATCTTCAATGGTGATTGTGGGATCAAACTGGAGATATTTACTAGCACTTGTTCTATAGACGTGAGAATTTTGTGATTAATTGTAGCATGAAAATGGTGATATGGAGAGTATTGATTGAAAAAGGTTGCTCATATTTATTTTTTTGTGAAATTTTACTGGTGCAAGTGTTGTCATGAATATTAGATTTTTTAAAAATTCAAGTTGTTTAGTTTATGCCAGGTTGTTTGATAAGTAAAAAATTTGGTGTTGCAAATTCATGTTTGAGTTTGGTATGTGTGTATCATTAAAAATATTAGTTACTCCATGAAGGAGATTAAAGGATTTGTGTAGTTTTATTGGCTGGCCACAAGCTCACATATCCAATGAAGATATTAATCTCCACATTTAAAAGTAGTTTTGGTTTCCTGCAACCCAAAACCCTGGTGGCAATAATTAGCAAGCTTGAGTAGCAGGTCATGTGGATTAGGGATCGGTGAAGAAGTAAACGTCACACATGAGACTATAGGATTTACATGCCTATGGTAAGGTTATATAGTTATCTTCTATGATTTGGCTTTGAAAAGGTGAAAGAAAGGTTCTAGACTTTGTAGCGTATGAAAACTTGGATTTAAAGGGGTGATCGGCTCTTAAATTTTTATAACTGTGGCAAAAAAATTTTAAACAAAATTTTGGGATCCCAGTTTGTGTTCTGGTGGATGATGATAGGAATCACACGCGTTAATGCCTTTTGTCACTTGTGGGGATCGCATTATGGTTAGCATTTGGATTTTGTCACTTTTTTCATATGGCTTTGTTCTAGGAATCTTCATTAAATACTTTATGACAAAAATAATTTTTTTAAGTTGAAATGGTGGAAATGAGCATAGGTTTTGTTGTCTCCACTTTGTTTTTTAAATACTAAATAATTACTTGGTGATACTTTAGTGCTGTCAGTATTTAAATGTTGGTCTAGCTTGTTTGAAGGGTGGATGATAAAATAATTGTTGTCCTTGAAGGGTGGATGAGAAAAATAATTCGGCTCAAATTTGTTGGTAATTTGAGCATAACCCAAGTTCAATTTATTGAGATTAAGCCAGCCTTGGGCAAACAAAATTATCTTAGAGGTCGGCAACCCCCAAAACAACTTGGATAACTTTTCTTCTTACTGCATCCGCTAAAGTTGCACCTCTAGTCACAAATTACTAGCTACCTTAATTTAAACCAAAATCGTAATTTAATTGCTGAACTTAATCATTTTTCATTGCACATCTAACAAGACTTCATTTTTCAGAGTTAAATTCTTTTGTTTCCTTTGGATCATGAATTCTGGTAAAGATTTGAAAAGGAAGAAAAAAGTGATTGAATAAAATATAAATTAATTTTTTCTTCATTTCTTTTTCAATTTCTAAATCACTGTCTAAATTTATAATTCAATCACAACATTAATGACTGAGTTTGAAAAGTAGACTCTTCGCATCTACAACATAATCTAGAACTTAGATGAATTGAAAATGTTGATCATAAAAATGAGTGTACATGAGGTCATATCTCAATAGATAACAAAAATTAAAATGGAAAATAATTGTAACATAATGATGGAAAAGGTTTTGTATAAGGTTAATAAAAAGAGGCAGAAGCTAGCTAGACCTTGTTTTGAATTTGTAAGTTCAACATGTGTCAACTTCAAACTCCTTATTTCCAGCTGCATTTCTTTAGAAATATCCCCCACCTACCCAGGTTAGGTTGGTTGTCTCCCATCTATCTAACAATTTCATCAGTCTCAAACAAATTACTTTTCAACATTTGACTGCGGTTTTAAAATTAATGTCCATAAGATATATTGCAATAAAATCGAATGGAGAAAAAAGATTTATGTAGCCGACTTCATTTTGTAACACCCGCATCCTTTAATCCATTAGAGAGTGTATTTAATTCCATTATTTTCTTTTTGGGAGCTTTTAGAGTTGTTGAATGTTGGTTTTGGAGGAGTATGATCTGATTTAAACTCGTTGGGTTTGTTTGTTTGCACTTGTTCTCGTCAAAAAGTTCCTTGGGAACTTAGAAATTCTATTCTGGGGTCGACACCAGCCTTCCTAAGGGTCGACCCTTACCTGTTGGTGAAGTTTCTGGAAGTGTTGCTGGAGTTTCTGGAAGTGTTGCTGGAATATAGGGTCGACACTAGTCTAGAGAGGGTCGACCCTCTTATATTGCAAAATCTTTGTGTTATGGAAAATAGGGTCGACCCCCTTCTGTCTAAGGGTTGTATAGTGATCCCGGTTGTCCCTTTACTGTTCTGTTGTATTCTGGACTCGGTTCCATGGAGTTGGTAGTTGTATCTATCTTGTTGTCGCCCTTTAATTCCATTTGTTTGAGTTTTAGGATGTGTTGGGCATGTTTCGAACAGGTGGGTTAAACCTTGGTCTAAAATCTTGTTGCCAGGTTTTTGGTGGTTCCGCTCGAGCGGGCCTTGTTGCGCTCGAGCGGATATTGCACACTCCCAGTATTTCGTATCCCTGCAAAACTTCTGCAGGTGTGATGTTTACGCTCGAGCGGGTTTCGTTATGCTCGAGCGGTCGCGCTCGAGCGGATACTCTGGCACTCGAGCGGATAGTACTTTTTGGTATAAGTTCTGCAAGGGGGAAATCTACGCTTGAGCGAATTGGTTTTCGCGCTCGAGCGGATGTACTTTATTCTTATGTCTTGGCGCTCGAGCGGGCCTTCTTGCGCTCGAGCGTACCTAGTTTTTTGTTTTTGACACTCGAGCGTTGTGTTCTCCGCTCGAGCGGGAATGTCGTATATCAGTTGGCAGCTGGCCATTTTAAAATCACTTTTTACATTCTCCCTCTCTCTCTTACTTTCTAAAAAGATATTTAGAGAGCTCCTCTCTCTAGAAACTCCCTTCTCTCTAGGGTTTGATCTAGTTAGAGTGTCTCCCTATCCTCCGGCCTTTGTAAAAAGTGTGTTGATCGTCGAAGGCTTCGTTTTGATCCGAGAATCGTGGTGTTTGGAGCATTTTCACTTTCTTCAACTTCCCCGTTTGAGCTCTAGCTTCGAGGTAGGGATACCCTACTCCTCTTTATGAGCTTTGTCTTTAAATTTTAGCATTTTGACATGTTGGGAGTTGTTGGGTAATTTTGAGAAAGTTTGGGTCTTTGTGTAATTTTACAAAAGATGGGGTTTTATTTATAATTAAACCTACATGCATGCTTGGCATAGAGAAATGATATTGATGATGAGCTATGGATGAAAATGGAACCTTAGGGTTGTTATGTTAATTATGGGAAAATGCCCTAATTAGTTGGATAAATTAATTTGTATAATTAATTTTGAGAAATGAAGAATTGAATTGAGAGTATTCAAATTGAAAAGATTATGGGATTAACGGGCGTGGTTGGATTCATTTAATCGCTCACCCAGGTTGAATGTTGATAATATATCCATTTGGTGCATTTATTTTCGGTTTAGAAATAACTGCTTTGAGCTATCGGTGGAGGATAGTCTTGATTGTTGTAGACAATGCATGATGATTAGGCATACTAAAACTAATCCATTAAGTAAGCCATTGAATATGGTGGTCGATACAATACAGCACTAAAATGTGTATTGATTGATTGAATTCGTATATGATAATTGTTTCTATACATTGTATTGTGTGGAAGGAGATGGGGGATGTACTCCACGGTTTATTGGAAGATGGGGGATGGACCTCTAAACCGAATTTCGTGTGACATTGATACAGCACTACAATGTGTATCAAGTGTTGATTTTGGAAGTGTTTAAATTTATTTGATATAGCACTAAAATGTATATCGTTATCAATTGTGAAGTATAGAAGTGTTTCTATGTTATGTTGATACAGCACCAAAATGTGTATCGTTCGTATAGTATGGAAGTGGGTTATATGTTATTGACATAGCATCAAAATGCGTGTCCATCATGAATTTTGAAAGTGTTTTAAAAAGATGAGTCTTATTCTCATCAAGTCATTTAGCTAAGTTTCGAGCCTTGTTTTCAAACTCAAAGTTGAAAAGGAAATGAGAAATGAAATGTAACATGGACTTAAATGTCATGAAACCAGAATGTGATATAAGTGAGTGTATCGGTGTTGACCATCTATCAACTGCTAATCTTTTAGTCATTGTTCATAGCTGGTTTAGTGTATTTCTGCTGGGCTATGGCTCACCCTTTATGGGACATCATTTTCAGGTACAGGTAGCATGCCACCTCCAAGGACATAGCCTGGGAGGCTAGAGGCAGACAGACTGCTTTTGTTGTTTGCTTTCTTTTGATGTATTACATGTAAATTCAAGCCAAGGGCTTAATATGTATTGAGTTAGCACTCTTCTCTTTGTAACCAAGTGTTAACTTGGAAAGCTGTAAGCCCGTAGGGCATTTGCTTTTGTTGTTAACATGTAATACTTTTGTAAGAACTACTCTAATTAATGGAAAGATGGTTGGTTTCTTTGTATCAATGCATGTCTAAATTGATGGGATTAATGTTATTATTTTGAGGGCGTTACAGGTTGACCCCCTTGCTTGAAGGGTCGACCCCCCTACACAAGGGTCGACCCCTGCATGTTTTTTTTTTTTTTCCAGATTTTGGGGTTCGAATGGGCCCTACCTTTAAGGGGTTTTGGGCCTATTATTTTATTGACCTTAGGGCTACTTTTCTACTACTATAAATAGGCTCCAAACATAGTTTCGTTCCACTTTTCTCCTCTTTCCTCTCTCTCAAACCGTGAGTTCTCCTCTCTCTCTCTCTCTAAACTCAAGCTTTTGGCACTAAGACCTCTAGATCTACTCACCTAGAGTGATCTTCTCACCATGGTCCTTTGAGAAAAAGTGTAGATCTCATCAAGGGCACCCTTTTGGTCCAAGTGGTTCGTGGTTTCGCCGCCTTTGATTTTTGGGTCGACATCTCTTGGCTACAAGAGGTAGGGGTTTCTAGTTCTCTTTCAATACTCTCGTTTATGGATAGATTTGTGGTATTTTCCTTATATAAACACAAAAGTTTATATTTTTATGCATATTGTGATGAATCATGAGATTGGGGGTTGGGGTTTGAAGAGAGTTGGGTTTATTTGTTGGGTTATGATCTTGGGTCAAGAGTTTGGGTGTAAAAGTAGTAGAAGGGTTGGAATAAATTGTGTTTTTGTGAAAAGCTTTAACTTCTCTTAAAAACCCTAGTTTGGCTCATGAAAATGGTTAATGGTTTTGCTTCAATTAATAGTAGAATCATGAAATTTAGGTGTTAAATTAAACATGTACAAGTTTAATTGAAATTTTAAAGAATTTGAGAAATGTATGTAAAAGTTAGGTTTTAGAGAGAGAGAAGGTCGATCTAGGGTTTTGAGAGAAAAAGATATGAAAAGGTGATGTAAAAAAGTGTTTATGCGAACTGACATACGCGCAGCTCGCTCGAGTGTAAGAGTTATCGCTCGAGCGACCAGAGACAAAATAAGTTGTTTTGCTCAAGCGCAAGAATCTTCGCTCGAGCGCAGAATACACATTCCCAAAAGTTTTACAGACAGAAAGTCGTCACTCGAGCATAAGAAGTCTCGCTCGAGCGAAGAACACTACCTTCCCAGTATCTCTGCAGGCCTGCAAAAGTACTGGGAGCTCACAAAGCTCGCTCGAGTGAAGAGGCCAAATACTGGACAACAACAGTTTGAACCATCTAGTAACCAACCTGTTCCAAACACATCCAAGACACTCCAATACTCAAACCCAATGAGAAATGAGGGAAATAAGACATAAACAATAATACGAAACCTCAAACCTGAGTCCAAAATATAAAAAGGGTCAGGTCAAAACCGAAATCGCTATATTAACAATAGATCAATTGTATGTAATAATAGTTAATACAATTGTTTATCTTATTTTGTTTTTTAATTTTTTTTATTTTTTTATTTTTACAATGACAGAATGAGATGTTTATCTTATTCTGGATTTGGGATCGGTCCATGGCCCTCTTCTACCATATCCGAAGCTGCATCAAAAGCACATGATAAGAAGATGGAGACCCAGAGATTGGAGATCCGAAACATGTACACCTGATTTGTTTTGTTATTTAATTTGGATTTTCATTGTTGGTTTGGATAGTATATGTATTTGTTGGATTCAAGCCAAGGGCTTAATGTGTAAACGCGTTAGAACTCTTTGTTGTAACCAAGTGTTAACTTGGAAAGCTGTAAGCCCGTAGGGCATTTTGTTATGTGGTTAACATGTAATACTTATGTCTTGGAATTCTAATGAATGAAAGGAATGCGGTTAGTTTAAATGTAAATGTATGTCTTATTTGATGGGTTTATTGTTATTATTTTGAGGGCGTTACATGCAAAAGTACTGGGAGCTTACAAAGCTCGCTCGAGCGCAATAAGCTTCGCTCGAGTGAAGAGGCCAAATACTGGACAACAACAGTTTGAACCAACTAGCAACCAACCTGTTCCAAACACATCCAAGACACTCCAATACTCAAACTCAATGAGAAATGAGGGAAATAAGACATGAACATTAATACGAAACCTTAAAACCTGAGTTCAAAATATAAAAAGGGTCGGGTCAAAACCGAAATCGCTATATTAACAATAGATCAATTGTATGTAATAATAGTTAATACAATTGTTTATCTTATTTTGTTTTTTAATTTTTTTTATTTTTCTATTTTTAAAATTACAGAATGAGATGTTTATCTTATTCTGGATTTGGGATCGGTCCATGGCCCTCTTCTACCATATTCGAAGCTGCATCAAAAGCACATGATAAGAAGATGGAGACCCAGAGATTGAAGATCCGAAACATGTACACCTGATTTGTTTTGTTATTTAATTTGGATTTTAATTGTTAGTTTGGATAGTATATGTATTTGTTGGATTATACTATGTTTGTGGATTCTTATTTTCTTTGATATGTACGGTTAATAGCTAAGTTTTGTATATGGTTGGAAATTGAATGTTACAAGTTGTGGAGAAATATTTTTATTGAATGGTTGAGAATTGAATGAATAAATGAATGAATGGATGAATAATTTTGTATATGCCTAGGTTACAGGTAGCGCAAAAAAATATTACAGAACAAATTATAAAAACTAAATGAGACCTTTTGACAACTAAACAAATTTCACAAATTGGCTTTTGGCTACTAAAACTTTAGTCGCCAATTGTAAAAAGTGAAACTTTTGGCTACTAAACTTTTAGTCGCCAATTGTAAAAAGGAAACTTTTAGCTACTAAACTTTTAGTTGCCAAATCTCAAAAAGTCAAACTTTTGGCTACCAAATAGTTAGTCGCCAAACATACATGCTCAATTGACTACTAAATAATTTAGGCACTAAAAGTAAAAATATATATATTTAATTATTTTTAAAAAATATATGGTGACTAAAGTTTTAGTCGCAATAGGTCACTTTTGGCTACCAAAAAAATTTTAGTCGCCAATTGTCTTCCCCAATGAACTATTGGCGACCAAACGGGTGACCAAATATATTAGTCAACAAAAGTGATTGGCGACTAAAATAAGACTTTTGGCGACTAAAACTTTAGTTGCCAAAAGTGAAATTTCTTGTAGTGAATAATTTTGGTTGAATCTTCAAGTTGTATGTATTTGTTTGAATCTAGACAAAGAAAAATGCATGCGTTTTTAAAATAGAGATTTGTGCTGCATCTCCAAATTTTGCAGGTTATCTTCATATACTTTCTTTTTGTTTAAAATATATTTTACGAACTGTAATATTTTACATGGTACTTTAATAACCAAGGTATGATTCCAAAATTCTAAAAAAGAACCACTTTTATTGGTTTTATTTTTAAAATTTGTTTTTCAATTTTTGATTTTTTATATTTTCTTAGTTTTGGTGATTAAAGATACTGAATTTCTTCATATTTTATATTTAAATTATACTTTTACATGAAAATCTAAAATCTAATAATCTAAATAGAATTAAAAAGTAAAATATTGATTAATTGACTCAAAAATAAAAAGTGACTCAGAAAAGTGATTTTACGAACTGATATACGCACAGTTCGCTCGACCGCAAGATATGTCGCTCAAGCGACCAGACACAATAAGTTGTTCCACTCGAGCGCTAGAAGCTTCGCTTGAGCGCAGAGTACACACTCCCAGTAGTTTTGTAGACAAAGGTCGTCGCTCGAGCGCAAGAAGCCTCGCTCAAGCGAAGAATACAAACTCCCAGTAGTTTTGCAGACCTGCAAAAATACTGGATGTTCACAAAGACCACTCGAGCGTAAGATCTCGAGCGCAAGAAGCTTTGCTTGAGCGAATAAACAAAAATCTGGACAACAAAAGTTTGAAAAACAAGCTACCAACCTATTCTAAACGCAATCAACACAACCCAATAGCCCAACTCAAGGAGAAATAGTGGGAAACATGACAAAAACAACTATATAAGGAAAAGAAACTTGAATCCAAAAGTCAAATGGGTAGGGTTTAAACTAGAAACGCTATATTGCCTAAGGCCGTGTGTTGATTACTAACTTTGTTTTGGTTTTGGTTTTATAGGATGTCTTCTCGAGGGAGTAGAGGTCTTGTAGGGAGTAGAAGTGTCGGTAGGGGCACAATAGTTCCAGTAACACCCATTTTTGCAACACCAATTGTGGGCGAGGAAATTGCATGCAAGATTGTGAGAGTGGTGAGGGAAGCTCTAGCTTGCCAAGAGGTAGACAACACTCATGCCCTTAAGCTTACTAAGAAGTTTCTTCGCTCCAATCCACGTGAGTTCACAGGGAAGCCTAAACCATTAGAGGCAAATAATTGGCTAGAACAGATCCCCAAGACTCTTGATATGCTCAAAGTCGAGATAAGGGATTGAGAGTTACGTTAGCAAGTTTCCAACTAAAAGGAGATGCCGGGTATTGGTGGGAGTATATGAAGACCACTGTAGACATCACTTGGGTTACTTTCACTAAGGCCTTTCTAGTCAAGTATTTTTCTCCTTTTGCTTGGGAGAGGTTGAGAAAATAGTTTGTAAAGTTACGCCAAGATACTACTTCTTTGGCACAGTTTGAGGCAAGATTCACCAGTTTGTTGAGGTTCGCTCTAGAGTTGGTAGTAACGGAGGATCGTCGTTGTATCAGGTTTGAGGTGAGATTACATAATGATATTCAAAGGAGTGTGGATGGATTCTTGCATAGGAATTATTACACACTTGTAGAGGAAGCAGCTCATGTGAAAGCTACCATTCTGGAGGTTGGTCGGGGTGGAGAGAAGTAGGCCGTATCGGTAATTCTATTGTTCGAGGGAATGCTAGGCTTAGTAAGAGCTAGAGATGAGCGAAATCTTAGTCACAGGTACGATTTTTGCCTCAGTCTACTTGTGCTTCATTGGAGTCATCCTTCGGGAGGTCCAACCAGACTCAGACCCCTTCGAGTCAGTTTAGGAATAGAGGGCCACCTATATGCTCTAGGTGTAACCAGTTGGGCCATGTTAGGCATCGTTGCTCTCAGCGTAGGCAGGCCCAATTTCAATAGTCTAGGTAGGGACAGAGTTGATGTCAGAGGGTGGTGGAGTTTTCTTGTTTTGATTATTGTAACGTTATGTTGTTATATGTAGGGTTTTATGCCTACTGATGTTGCATATATATATATATATATATATGTTTGTCTGTTTGTCCCAACGGCTTGAGTTTGTAATGAATTTTGAAACTTCCTTGATTTGAGAAGTTGTCGTTAGGATTGATAATCCTAGTATTGTTATATCTTTATTTGTGGTTTCATGAGTTGAGTACGTGATGTTTGTGAGCCTTATTTTGCTTTGAGTTATTGTTGGGAATGGGTAATTAGTGTGTTATGACTAGTTTGGGAATACAGTTAGGGTGGAGTTGTATTATTCTAAGTGTGTATGGTTTGGGTTGGTATAACCCATTAAAGTTTTGTAGGATTGGTGTGAGTTATTGGGTGAAATGTTGAAAGTATCCCTTGAGGAAGTGTGAGACTTGTGTTTCTTGGTGAAGAAAGTAAAACTCGTGCTTGTTGTCTGGGTGTTCGGATTTGTGTGATTTGTGAGTTTGTCATTAATCTTATCGGTCTTCGTATGAGCTACATGAAGAGTGTGATTGCCACTTATGCATAAATGTTAGGGTAAGTTGAGTTGAAGATGAGAGTGGTATGAATTAGTCTTGAGAAGCTCATTGTGGACTCAAGGGATAGGTAAACGTGTGTGTGAATCCCAAGTAGGGGCGAGCAATGTTGAGAAATGTCACCGAGCGTAGAAAGTTGTGGAATTGGTTGATTGGTGTTAGGAGTTGGTTGACAAGTAGTCACTTTGGGAATTACCTTAGTTTTGGGCGAGGAATGGTAAGGCTAAGGAGTATTTAGGTTTACACTTGAGAGTTATAGAGTTGTTTGATTGTCACTAAGGTTTGATTGATGAGGAATTACATATGGGAATGCTTTAGATTTGAGTGAAGAATTGTAAGGTTGAGAATACCTTAGAGTGCACCTAAGAGTGTTGAGTTTTGTATGTGTGAGGCTTGGCTTGAGTTAGTGGAAATCCCTTGGCTTAGGGTAATGTGTTGGACTCTTCATCTTGCGAGTGCATTTGCGCTATTGGTTGATTAATAAGTTGCGATAACGATTACAATTGGATGAGATTTCCAAAGTTGTGAATTCATTTGTGCTTTATATTTTTATTAGCACGGTTATTATTTCTATAAATTGTTATTGTTGATATGTTGTGATTAGGGTTGGCTAGATCAAGCCCATACCCACCCGAATGAGACGAAATTTACCCAACCCGACACTTATGTGGGGCGGGGTGGATTATATTTTGGTCACCCGGAACAAGGGTGGGGGTGGAGCTGGGGCTGGAGCTGGGGCAAATATCGCCTCCCCCAATCCAAACCCGACCCGATAAAATTAATAACATATAAAAATAAATAATATATATGTATCTATATAATATAATTATATATAAGAAATGAATACTAAAAGTCTGTAATTCTATTTAAATATAAATAAATAATAATCCTAAAAATATCACTATTTATATATGTGAAAATAAGAGAAATTATTTAGTGTGTTAAGGATTTAAATGGTTCTCAATTTTTTTTTGGCTATTTTAAATGTGGTTAGGTATCTGCGGGGGCAGAGATATGGTTAAAAAATTCCACCCGTAGCAGGGTTGGGGTTGGAGTTAGGGCGGGGGCGGGAGCGAGAGTAAGGGCGAGGGTGGAGTTTGAAAGCGGGGGCGAGGGTAGGGGAGGGGGATTACAAACCCTCCTCAAACCTGCCCTGTGGCCATCCCTAGTTGTGATTAAGTTGTGACATCCCCATAGGAGTGATGGGTATTGTTGGGTGACAGTTGAGGTTCACCGATTGTATGTTAGGGAAAGGATTTGAGGAAATGAATTTTTCTTGTGTCGTGGCCTCAAATGGCATGGTTGAAATTGAAAACATTTTTGTTAAAACCAAACCTAATTATAAAAGGAATTGGTGTGAGCTGATGTGGTTGTCTACATGTTATGAGTAACACTTGATTGTGTTCGGAAAATATTTACAAAACTTTGAGTTTTACATGGAAACCGAGAACATTTTTTATATGTACGTCATGCAAGTTTGAGCACCTATTGAAATAATTTTGTACACTGGAAAAAGGTTTTCAAAGAAATAAGGAAATGAGGCAAATTTTCTTTTAACAAAGATGTATTGTAAATTCTTTAACCTAATGTGGTTGGGTTGTGTAATGTTTTTAGCATGGATTGCTAGTTATGTGTTACGTGTTTTGTTTTGGTAAATTTGTATTGTTGAGGCTTGTAATGACGAAGGGTCGTCTTTGTGGACCGTATTTTGTGGGTGTTGTCCTCTTGTGAGAATTGACTAAGATTTCTAGTTGTGAGCGTGGTTTCATCCTCGATGCTTGGGGTGTTGAACACTTGGTTGTTATCTGGGTGTTAATATGTGGTTGGGATGTGATTAGCGTTTTTGGTCTTGTAGACCTCGACGAGTTCATATGGGTCATAGAGGCATTCGTGACCTTCTTCTTTTGTCTTGTACTTGGTTATTTTTGGGGCACCAAGGTGTTTGATCGAGATCTGGGAATTTATTCTGAGTATTGAATTGAGCTTTGGACTTGTGGTTGCATCTTTTGTGATTGTTATACCTTGAGCCTTGGCATTTTCCTAATTTCGGGGACGAAATTCCCTAAGGGAAGAGGTTGTAGTGGCTTGGGTCAAGACCCGTCCCTTTTTGTCTTTTTGGTTGGAACACGTTGTTGTTTCAATTGACTTTAACCTTACATTGTTAAGTTTGGACCTTGGAACGTCTTGGGCTAGCTTCGGAACAACTACTCAATAGTACTGACTTTGCCTGTTCGCGCCTACGAACATTGTTATTACGTCCATCATGGTTGAGGGTTGCGCCCGCAATGGGCTACAACCAAAAACCACCTTCAGGTTTGTTGTCTTAGAGGAGTTGCGTTGCCCGTGATGGGCCACGATCAACATGGTTGTGCATGCGAATGTATAAACTGCGGCCACTCTAACCCTTATGCTTTAGGCAATAAACATGGTAGAAGTCTTTGGGAATGTTGTGGTAAATTTCTTAATCACTAAGAATAAATAGGTTGATAAGGACTTGATTAGTTGATGAGTAACAAAAGATGACTTCAAGACTTTAGTCTTGTGTGCGTGTGTCCATAGAGACATTTGTTGGTGAATATGTGCAATGAGATAGTTGAGGTTGTATTATGAGATGTAATTTAAGTTTGAAAACACTTTTGAGTTGAAAACGGTGAATTGCAAAGATAAGAAACAATTGAGTTTTCTTGAATTGATAAAGAGGGACTTTTTGGAAAAGATATACTATTGTATGAATACTTTGAATATGAAAAGCCACATTATCTGTCACGCCTCACTTTTTATTACTCGAAGTATTACCAATTTCATTTCACTTAATTCCATTTCAGAGATAACATGCAGAAATAAACTCGTATATTCAACTCGTAGAAGTGAATAACATTGCTCTCATTCGTATGCAAGTAAATACAACATGAGTGTAATAAATAAATTGCCCTTGGGCTTACATCATTAACGAATCAAGAAGAAGGGTGCAACCCTTTTACACATATGGCATTCCGCCAATACAAGAGAGGCCCCGTGGCCAACAAATAAGAAGATCCAAATCTTGCAGCACATTCAGCTCAACACCTGAAAAAGATTCAACAACGTGGGATGAACATATAGTCCAATAGGGATCTCAACATGGCCCTCAACAATAACAACATACAGATAGCTGTGATCATGAATACCCAATCTCATACTAGAATAGTAATGTGACGGTTTATACAAAATATACATAAGTATGAACTTTTCTTGAAAACAACCATTTCAATCAACGCCATAGGCGATTCAATTTTCTTTTCTTTTCATTAACCCCCATTCCCAATCTTTCATAACATTAACAATACCTCAGGAAATAAATTCACTAAGCCCACTACTCTCTTCCATTTTCCTAACATACATAGATACGCCTTTTCAAAACATATATCTCTTTAAAATATCCGTTCTCCTTCATACTTTCCAAAAGACAAAAATGAAATTTTGGCTTCTTCCTGATACAATCAAATCTAGACATGCACCACTATAAAAAGGGAGATAACAACTCACCAACATGCATAAGATAAACCAATGAGGCAATTCGCCCCTCCAAAACCGTAACCAACACAATCCATGATATTCCCAGACACACTGAAACATCAACAACAAAACTTTGCTCTACTAGCTATATGCGTGGTAAGCCAAAGATATACTTCTAACAACAACATGCCAGTTTACTAGGCGCTAGCTGGAAGGGTATGGTGCCTTAGATTCTCAGC